TTTCCTTTTAGAGTTATTTATAGTCCTATAAATAGAATCTTTTACTTTATAATAGAAACACGTTTATTATATACAATTTATAATATTCTTCATAATTATTATTTAACTTTTTACACGTGAATTTTTGTTAAAAAGTTGAAGTTTGAAAGATGTACCCATGTACTCGTGTCCGAAATTTGGATTCTTTTTAGCTATATCCCCATATCCTACATTTTAGAAAATAAAAAATCCGACACTTATATACGTTCCCGTACTTGATACCCCGTATCCGAGTCGAGCATCATAGGGGGGCATGTGTACTTGTGCAGTTTAAAAGATGGCACTACATCATTTATTTGTCTAATTATTTATTGTACTTCCATGTTTTATTTTAACAGCTTAACTCTTGCCAATATTTTTCTCTACATTGATTTAATGTGATTTAATGTTCTATGTAGCATCGTGGGGAGAGGCGAGGTCTTGGGGGTATATTTTTTGATGATTTGAACGATTATGATCAAGAGACGCTTCTTTCCTTTGCTACCGGTAATTTCCTTTAAGAGGATCCTTGCTACTATGAAATTCCATGAATTATGGTCTTCTATATGTCCAATTTTTTCTTTAGGAAGTACTGAAGTTAATAAACTGGTGTTGGCAAGCTCTCTCTATATATGAGGCAGAAGCACTACTTTTACAAGCTTTAAAGAAGATGAGAAGTTTAATTTTTCACTTTGAACTGGAATAAAAATAAAATGTGATTATTAGGTGGGATCTAATTCTTATCTATGCTTGATGGATTGAGCATTCCCTTTACATTGTAATTCTGGGTAATGACTACAGAGTGCGCCAATACTGTAATTCCTGCATATATACCCATAATAGAGAAGAGGAAGGATATGCCATTTACTGATAGACACAAGTCATGGCAGCAACTGCGTAGAGGACGCTATGTAGAATTCAATTTGGTAAGAGACCGTATTTAATATTCCAACCAAATACTGTACTTAAAGATATTCTAACTTTACCCTTTTATGATTGAAGGTTTATGATCGTGGCACTACATTTGGTCTCAAGACTGGTGGAAGAATTGAAAGTATTCTTGTCTCACTTCCCCTAACTGCACGTTGGGAATATGACCACGTAAGCTTTTATTCAGAGTTGAATTCGGCTGAATGTTTCTTTGTAAAAGAGAAGAGTAGATTATTGAAGTAAAATAACTATTTTGTTTGCAGCAACCAGAAGAGGGGAGCGAGGAATGGAAACTGCTGGATGCGTGCATCAACCCCAAGGAATGGATCTGAGATTTTTCATCGCAATGTTGCTGTGCTGGGCCTACTTATGTGTTGGTTCGTCCCATTTGATTGTATGTTTTTTAGTTATTTTCTTAGCAATGTTGATACAGAAAACCCAAGTAGGAATGGGTAACTTGTTCAGATCTCATCTGTACACAATGAGGAAAAATTCCATTTGTGATATATTTGGTGCTTTGAGTGTCTGTCTTTCTGGTTGAGCTAAATCTAGTTTTTGAGTAATTGAACACACCATGAAGCTTCCAAGCTGTGGCAAAAAATCCAAAATTTCCATCCAAATAATTCAGCGATTCCAGGTTTTCACCACCACCTTGACTTCCAACTCATATACAGCCAGAGTCACAAGCTCTTCTTGAAGTAGATTAATGATTTATTTGGAAAATGCACTTTTAAGTGAGAGATGATAAGGATCGGGTTGAATTCAAGATTTAGAGAACGCATTTAAATAGAGGCTCAAAGCATCAAATTGTTTTCAATCAACACCCGACTGCCCCACACTGAATCCGTCTGAATCAACACAAAACATGCTATTAACTGCGAGCGGCAAGTCATATTGCAATAAATAACAATTAGTATATCCACAGCATTTTACTGCAAACTGCAACAGTTTACGTTTAAAGAAGTCCGGAAATGAAAAGCTATAGCATCTGTCATGCTACTAGTATAGCGGATATATATGCAAAACTGCCAGCAGCAAATTTTGATGAACGAAAATGAAGAAATCATGGTATCACTCTCCAAAAGCTGCCCCATCATTCGAACATGCAAACTGTTGACCCCAAAAAATGAATCAACAGATGTCGGGCACACTTTCGCCAAGTCAAGCACGATTTCGGTGCGTTCCTACCGGAATGATAGCGGTAGCGACAAGGAAATTGACGCGGGAGGTACTTTGCGATGAGAGAGAAAAAATGTTCAAGCTCCGATGAGTAGAACAAAAGAAATCGCACTAGCAACGATTGCCGGATCGAATCCAAAGTAATTTATGTAATAACCAAGTAGGAATATGTAGAAAGATAGATGAAATATAAGAATATTACTTTTCAGAGTTCAAGTGTATTTTTGATTATATGTTCGTCCAGATCCCCCTCTTTTTACAAAGAGGACCTATTTATACTGCTTTGGCCGACATGGTGACCGTTGGATCGGAACCACATGGGCTCATCTCCCTAACTAAGGCTTCACATCACTGTTATTCATATAATTAATACATTGATAAGAGGTTAGTCGCCCTATACTATAGGCTGACAAACTGACAACTTTATTACAAGTGTTACATCACTCATTTCTAGTAGATCATTAAATCTATTACAAGAGACAGAGTGGGCTCAATGAGATTCGAATAACTTGGAGAGAGCATTGGATGGGTCTGAGGTTCGTCTTTGAAGAAGTGCCTCAGATGGACTTCGTCGCGCTGTGGTGAGGACTTCGGACGTGATGTGAGGACTTCGAACTGTTTGTCTTATTGTTGTGTTTGACCTACTGGATCTTCTTTTTGACTTTTGCTGACTGCCTGTCCACGTGTTGTGCCACATGGTCTCGTTTCATTGAGCCTCAGAGGCGAGGAGTAACACAAACCATTCCCGTTAGTAAATGCCACTAAAGATCCCTTGGCTAGCTTAGGCGTGTTGTCAGTGTGCTGAGGTACCATTGCTTAGCTTGCACGTCTTTGTTGTGTATTTCTTCAAAATGGCCTGGTACTCACTCCTAAAGCAAGCCTAAATTCTTCGTCAATTTCTATAAAAGGCTTTTCTTTATATATATTTCC